AAACCAAACAAGCAATTTATGATTCCAATGGAATCAAAAACAAATAAAGAAAAGTATAAAAGTAAAATTGATGAGGTGGACAACAACTTTCCAAGTTGTGTCATAAATACACAACTTTACTAACAACAACCAAACAGCCCCTAACCGTTGTTAGACACAAGAGTTACATTTACATTATTGCATATTAAATTAAAATTAAATTAACTTATGGTTTTATAACTCCATCAAACCCACTTAAATGACATTAATCCAATCAAAACTTTTGAAATTCTCCTCTTTTAATTGTATCATTATATCTATTTAATGACATCCAACTAAAAACTAAAAACTTTCCCATCACATAACCACCTTTACTATTATTATAATGCAGCACTAGCACCGGCTCAAATATTTAGTCCATTAAGAAGGAAAGACATAGTATTCATTAGAGATTTCATTCACAGTGAATACCCTAACCGTTGTTAGACACAAGAGTTACATTTTCATTATTGCATGTTGAATTAAAATTAAATTAACTTATGGTTTTATAACTCCATCAAACCCACTTAAATGACATTAATCCAATCAAAACTTTTGAAATTCTCCTCTTTTAATTGTACCATTATATCTATTTAATCCCCCCGTCGAGATTGTTGAAGATGGTGTCTGACTCTAAGACCTCCACTGTGAACTCTACCGACACCTAGGGTCGAAGAGATTATGATATTATGGTAAATTTCTAGAATTATATATATACAGTATTATGTCACTTCCTTTCTCTCTTCAAATTATTAGTCTTTTCAAACACTTTCTGTATTTCTTCTTCTTTGGTTTGGTGCACATAAACGTACTTAAATCTCAAGAACCCAAGACATCATTCAGTTCATAAAGTAAATATAAAGTTTTATCTCATCCTCTTTCTCTCTTCCAATTATTAGCATTTTCTCATACTAATTTTCTTCTTCTTCAAATTGGTGCAAATGAAGGAATATCATAGAAAGAAGATACCATTTGAAGGTTTGCTTCACAAAATTAAATGTTGTTATTATTCTTTTTGAATAAAAACGTCTATATAACATATTTACGCAGTATTATCAAAGGTGTCAGAGGTTTGTTATAAGGGATGTTGGTTATCTAAAATACAATTAAATTATGGTTTTATAATTTTTCCATTAAAGGTACTTAAATTGAATTGATCCCATCAAACGTTTTCTGATCAATTTAATAGAAATAAAAATCCATCATTAATTGCCTAAATATATCTTTCTCAATTATCTTTTTCGCTATCGCCGGACTGCCATTGCAGGCGACTATCTGTCACATGAGTCCGTGTCTTAGGCTTTTGTGAACTATGGCGACAGGACAAGTGGAGATTCTCAAATCATGGTAATTCTTGAGTTATTGGATTTATTTTGTATTCTTTTGAAAAATAGTAATTGCAATATTTATTTCTAATCCCGAAGCAAGTGTTATCATTGAGGAGCAAGAAGAATCGGTTGCTTTTCAAGCTTCCTCTAGATAACCTGAGAGGAGTTTTAGTTTTTCACTTAAGAGAAATTTTATCTATTTTGGAGAATCGAACTTCAATTTGTAGAAGTTCTATAATGCACGTGCAATTTATAAAAGTTTGTTAAAGTAACTTCGAGCTTATCATGCATTGAGTAAAATTATTATTTTAATGTCAAATGAAGTAAATATTAATTTATTCTTTAATTTTTTGAGCTCAAATAACTAAATAATTTTATTTTGATATTTACGTTTGTACCATATTCTTTAATTCTTAGCACCATATGTTAATTTTGAACTATTGATTTTCTATCAATTATTCCAAGTATCTGGAGTTTTAAAATTAAAGGTAAATTAGTTGCTAATTTTAAACAAAAAATTTAATTTACAATTTGTAAATAAAATTATATACAACATATATAATATCAATTTTATTATTTAATTGTTTGATATATCGTTATAATATATGTTTTTAATATTTTTATTATAATTACAACATATTCCCGATTATTTCATCAACTATGAAAAAGTAATATGACTACACTATATTCCAAAATGTATATTTTAAGTCTTTTCATCATTTTCAAGCCATAAAAACGTTCAAAAAGTAAAAGAAGTATGTATACATGCAATGCACACGCAACAAGTATTGTATACATGCAATTTTCAAAAAGCAAAACAACTATATATATGAAAATGAGTACACATGCAACGCACGTGCACCATACTAGTGGCCTAAAAAATCACCAATTGCTACTTTTTCTAGAGAAGTCGGCACGTGTCTTACCCCTCGCCTAATCAGACGAATTGAGGTCGAAACGACTCAAACTACTCCTACGGCCTACTGTGTCAGCCGACAACTTGCGTAGCCGAGTCAAAAGGTGGTACTTATCGACCACCTCACCCGACCGACCTTACGAACAACACACACTCGGCCTGCTGTGTTAGCTGATAACTTGCGTAGCCAAGTCAAAAGACAGTACTTATCAGCCACCTCACCCGATCGAACATACGAGCAACTCACACTCAACCTACTGTGTCAGCCGACAACTTGCGAGACTGAGTAAAAAGGTGGTGCTTCTCGGTCCTTGACTAAACAAATAGAGAGATGACAGTTACCTCAAACAAAATCATCAAATAGCCGACTGTTCTCGCATTAACTGCTCTGACAAAATCATCATTACTCTAGCCCCTATAGTATCTATGACTCATCGGGTCCAATCAGCTCCAAACACCTGCTGTTACTCCCTCATTAAATGACTAGATGACTCATCTTCTTTCGTGGCCAACACCTGGAAGGTATCTACTGACTCAGCAACCTGATTGGACTTGGTCGGAGTTACCTTCATACTCCTCTGATCTACTATAAAAAGGGAACTACGCTGCATGTGGTAACTTCTTCTGCTTTTTGGCAACTTTGAATAACTACCTATACAATTTGTCTTTGATTTTTCCACACAAGATCAAAGTACTGACGTGATCATCGGAGGAACAACCGGAAAGTCTAACTCC